ACGTTTGTCGAAATTAATACATTGCGTTGCACGAAATATTTTCCATCTCAGTATAACATCCGCAAACAACCGTCCAGAACCTGCAACACTACACTACGCTTCAACCAACTTACGGCTCCAAAATCATGTAGTTCAAAAGCCGCCCTTCTCTATCCAACTTGGTCTTGCCTCTCGTTGTCCACACTGGTTTCACGATTCCGCGACGCCTTAGAATTTTTTCAGACGATTCCACCCAGCTAGATTTGCTTCTTATGACCCTTTCATGTGCAACGGTCTATTATGCGCATCTCCAAACAATTAGCTTTATTCCTGTAATTTTTACGTTCCATTCTTTTCTTCTTGATTTCTGTTTCTTTTATTTTGTTTCGTTTTTCTGCCGAATGTGCTTTCATAGCTCTTTTCAGACAACCTCCACTCTTCCTCCCCATAGCCATCTAACGCACTTTAAACCAACTCTTCTGGCATATTCTGCAGCGAAACCTGCGGAATACTACCGTCTTCTCCCCACCTACGACATGAAATCAGAATATCTCCTATACCCAACGGTTCCGATGACACAAGCCACAACAAGCTATCTCGTTTACGAATGAGTTTAATTTCCTGACGATGTTCCTATCAAATATGCTGGAGTCCTTGGCTTGGGTGTCACATTCGAATAATACGGCTATGCTTTTGGGCTTATAAATATACCATGCTAAGGAACCTAGGCTCTTGACTGGCTCTGTCAGCTTCAATAGCGCTCATGGGCGTTGTAAGCTAGTCGGGATATACCGCCTCCAGAAAATTCGAATCAGTGTGTGGCTATGAGCGCTATTCGAACCCTTCGAAAATTTCGAAAGCTAAAGGGTTTCCATACCCTTAACAAATCCACTTATCACCTTAGTTCTTTCGCTCCGTTGTACGAACCGGTTGACATCCCGACATGCCGGGTTGCTTTTCTTCTATGCCTTTCGAACGCCTTTTTCTTTCCTTCGAAACATGAGCTGATAGAAAATTCCCATATAATAACATGTTTGGGATAAGGTCAAGATACCAAACTACCAGGCCTTTGATCGATTATCAAAATGTTATAACGAAAACACGGGCTGCCTGAATATACAACATACTCCGTACACGCTTTGGATTAGCGTTCATGACGGGTTCTGCTATTTTTCGGGGCTCCCTATTTTTTGTAATTTCTGGATCTTCTCGGTTTCTTTTGTCACCATCCACTGAAAGCTTTTAGCGGCTGCGGGTTCATCGTACTCTAGCAGCTAATATGGCCACGAAAATTTTTTGGCTCTCCGTCAATTATTAGTTATGAGATTCATATAGAGATCCAGCAAGATATAATTATAGAAACTATCCAAAATATCATAATCGAAGGTGGGGTGTGAAATTTTGGGCTCTAACGTCATGTGGATCGTTATGCTGTCATTCGTTGCCCAGAGCATTACCCCATTAGTTCTTTTGGAGCCGTCAGATTGTCTACATTTCGACATAGGGGGAAAGCTAGCTGCAGTTGATTTTCTCTGCTCGTCGATCATTAGCCATACCATGAACAGGATTTCCCTCCCTGTCCTACAAAACAACGCGTGGAAAGGCTAGCTAACCAGAGCGGCATTTGCAATGTACAGTACAAATTAGCCATTGATCAGTTCGAGTTTGAAATTGATCTAGATATGGCCCGGTGCCTTTTCCTTCTGTCACGTTTCTTTGCGGACTTTTACTCTTCGAAAACCGGGAACCCGCATTTCTGGATCGTCAAAGTGGGTTTTCCCGACGCAAGTTGTCCTACATAATGGTTACTGGCTTGACATGGATGCAGCAACGCATGGAGGAGTCACAACACCATTATGACTGGTCCCGTATCTTTGAGGCTGCTCTGCAGCTACCGACAGGCAAAAAGGAACAAAGTTGGTGAAACAACAACCCTTTCGATACTGGGAACGTCAGATTTCGAAACTATATCTAAGCAACACCGCGCTAACTACCTTTCCTTGTACACAACTTAACCCTTGGTCCTTCGCCGTTTTTAGCCTTGATTTGACGCCGGGACCTTCAATGGTTGTCATTCAACTCCGAACATTAATCTCTGGCCGAGGCCCATGACTCGCATCATGTTTCCTGAAACGGCTTGATGCATCTCCCCGGTCAGGCTCTACGCCAGCCGTCAGAAATCCCAACAGCCACCCGCATGCTAGCTAGTTGGCCGCCCTGCCAGATTTTGTTCCATCGTTTGTTGTTCCGTTTGCTAGCCTTGCTTGGACGCCGCCACGTGCAGGATGATGGTCAGATCAAACGACCCAACACTGATTATCATTTCCATGCGTGTTCTAGTTTATTGTTTTGTCCAGCGCATTTTCTGTTCCATTGCCCCATTTAATTTTTTGGGTCGGTGATGTATCTGCTATTTTGAGTTTGCTACGCCCCTTGCTACTGCTAAATTGCCCCACAGAAAGTTGCGGCACTCTCATCGCTTGTCGGGTTTTTATCTCGCGCCGGAATCAGGCTTACGTCTCTTAACCCTGTCCATCACAAAGTGCCGGCATTTTATTCAACTCTCCGGATGTAACTAACACTACAACAGGGAGACCTGATTTAGCGTAATCCCGCTCCACCGAGAGAACAATCTGTCATAGTTTCGTTAGATTGGCTCAACAAGTTCTCATCGGATCACCAATTTGGATCTCTTCCCCACATTGTGGGGAAGCTTTGCTCTGTCATCATCGTTATTTAATTCTCTTTGGGCGAAAGCGTGGAACAAAAGCCGTTGCCTCACACTAGAAAAGTAAATGGAAGCATCATAATACGAGGCCTCCAATCATTCAGATTGTCATGGCGGAAGTTATTGGTGCTTGGCACGTAATTTGCCAGCGGAGCTTTATCAGGCACCTCAAGTACGAAAATCTTTTGGGGCTTGCGAAACCGGTAGTTATCTCACGGGTTTTTCATGTTTGCAGGAAAGTTTCCTGAAGTGGTGTGCAAGGACCTTTGCTTTACACACGCCATACTGCACACATCTCGTTTAACTGCGGAAAATAATCATCATGATTTCGGCGACTTCCACAGGATTGACGTTTGTCGCTCATCACATTTTAGCACAATGAGTGATACGCAGGAGTCAAAGTAAACGGTACGTGGTTTACCTCTGTGTAGTATTTCTCGTACCTTCAACTGTACAATATATGCGGCGTTGGGACGAGGCGACGAATGAATAATCAATCGCGCATCAAGTAATAAATGTAAAGTCAACTTCACAAGAATGGTTAACTATTGTTGCCACATGATGCGTAAGCTGCATGAGGGGGGCCTAAGCATTCATTCATTCATTCATTCATTCATGGACGTTTCAAAACCCAAGTTCGCATCAAATTGAGTTTGAAGGTAATGTAAGACATCTTGGAGGACGTGCTATGTAGTTATAGGGGTTGGTTTATCGAGATTGAGCTCTACGGCGTAGATTGCTTAGAAGTATAAAAAACAAAAAATTGTCCGTGGACACGGACATAACCGCTTATGACAGGGGGGGTCCTGGTGGCTCCGTTATCTTCATTTACAGGGGTTATAAAATGAGCAGGCCCGCTCGATTAGACGGATGAAATCTACATCGGCAGCGCGAGAGTCCTCATCAAACCAACGAGACAAAACTCGAGAACATTGCTCGTTAGTATGAACCATAATGGAGTAAAATTCATTCTCGGTTGGTTGAGTGGATACTTCCCCCTTTTGAGTTTCCCAGGGGGGCATTGAGCAGCATATCTTCCCTCGAATTTCCAGCAGTGGTCAAGATTTTATATTTCCAAGAAGAAGCTTTTTATTACTTCGTTTATCGCATCCGCTTCTTTATGGTATTGTACAGAATACATACATGTCGGACGTTCACTTCGAACGAACATTGGCTGGGATTAAAATTATTATTTTCAACCTTCGGTTCTTCAATGCTTATGAGTGAGTCCCTCCCTAGCCCATTCCTCAAAGCGCACGGGTGTCTTGAAAGCTTCGCCCAGGGCGTAATTGAACGGGCAGCCGCTTGCTAGATCAATGCTATGGAATATCTTGCTCATTTACGTCTCCCGTCCGATTCCTCCTTTGCGTTTGGCCGTCCTAGAAGAGGTTATTCAGCTTCTAAGACGGCGTCCTAATTACGTGCAAAGAGGAAGAATCCCGAGGAATGATTTTAAGTGCAACGAAAGTTCCTTCCTATATATAAGCCATGGTTTTTGATAGCCAAAGTTTCAGAGCATTGGAATCGGCCATGACGGTAGTACTATGAGATATTGGATATTTTCTGGTAGGAAAGCGACCAGAATTCGGAGAGATGTCTTTTGGGCAAGGCGGTTGAATAGATGTAGGTGTTGGTGCAATGCCTGATGCGATACTTTCTGGGAAGTTTGAAAATCCGCTTGGTATATTTGGTATTGAGTCAGACGATATGGTATGGATATTGCTCACTTTCTTAGCACAGAATTGTAGTCCAATGGATCCCACGAAAATGTGGCACCTAACAAATGGTAGGTGGATTCCGTGGATGTTGGATGCTGGTAGAACAAATACCACAGACTTGTCGCCACAGACTTGTCGCTCCAGCTGCCAACGTAATGCATGGAATCTGCAGGGAATCTAGGATACGTCCTGAGAAGAGGTATGATTTTGATGACAGAGACTCTATGAACAAATTTCCTTTAGCCCAATCTTCCACTGTCAACTAGTAAAGGCGAATTTTAGGAACAGGTGAACGGATATATCATCAAGGGGTTGAGGTCATTTCTGCGACGGGGACCCGAACCCTTTCTCAGCTGTTTGAGCAGTGTTCGCGTTAACGTGGGAAAAATCCACGGGACCCTCTTTTTCAAAATTAGTTAGTAAATGAAGCGGAAGAAAAGGGGAATATCAAGACAAAATGGCACGTCGATATTTATTTACCATGTCTTGTGTATAGCTTCCGTTCCACTTCGTCAAACTTCGCTTGACCACTTTCAACATCCTCACGTGTGACGCCAAGTCGAGAAATAGGGAGTCCCATCGACAATAAGAAAGTCACCGTGTCATTCCATTCAACATTTTTCCGCTTAGTATCCCAATTTAGTTCCTCCGCCATGATATCAATGATTGTTGGGAGAGCTTCGAGGGCGGCTTGGGCGTTCAAGAATGCTAATCTAGTCCTCCGTGCCAAAATATCCACCGCTGTCTGTGCAAATTCAACACGCGTGCCATAGCGGACCTCACCATCGATAAACGGATATAGAGGAGAAATGCGCAACCCACGGACTGGGAATCGCGTTTTTGTGGGAGCTGACATAGCGGCCACATCCCATGCACGATCTCCGTAAGACTCTGCGAGATGTTGAGCAACGTCTGTTGCGATCCCGAAGTGTTGGATGAGCCTAATGAACAGCGTTTTCGAATAGCCATGGGCACCTACCAAGCGGATTTGATGAGTCTGGCACGACCCATCCAGAACCGCACCATCGTCGAAAAGTCCCATTCCGCTGATGTCAAGAACGCGTCTGTTAGGACGAGGCTGTAGATTGTACTGTTTGATAGCTTTGTCAACAGCATCCTCGGCCATTTGCCGGTAAGTTGTCCATTTTCCACCAGCACAAGTTAAGAGACCGGATTCAGATACTGTAATGAGGTGACTACGGACTAGAGATTCTGTGTTTTTAGCTGTGGGATCTCGTACGAGAGGGCGAATTCCGGCCCAAGCGGCAAGGACATCACCGCGCCTCACATTGATGCTCGGGGAAAGATATCCGCGGATTTCATTTAGGATCCAGTTTATATCCCTTTCAGATGGGATAGGCTGGGCAGTAATAGTAGTGGGGACATCGGTTGTTCCAGCAATTGTGTTCCCCTGCCACGGAAGGAAAAATATGACACGTCCATCTGAAGTCGCAGGGTCAATCAGTCCCATCTTTGTTGGGCTATAGTAGCCAGGAAGAACAACATGTACCCCAGCACTTGGTGCAACTATTTCACTAGCGTTTTGATCATCCATCTTCCTGATGGAATCTGTAAATGGACCTGTGGCATTTATAATACCCCTGGCCCTAATAGTAATTTCTTCTGCCTTTTTGCCGTTTTTGCCTGGAATCAAATCTTTCAAGCGGGCTCCGTTGAGTCTCCCTGACTCGTCTTTGGTTAAACCGACAACTTCCATATGATTTACAACTGTAGAGCCATATAAAGCAGCGGTCAACGCCAAAGATACATTCATTCGAGAGTCGTTGTGGGCGCCATCTCCATAAGGGTTAGCTTTGCAGAAATAAATTCAGGTTTTTTTCTGTTTTGCTTTTGTTTTCGGAGGTAGGCAGTCAGGTCTTACCATAGTAGACAAGAGCACCAAAGAGATTATCCTTCTTCAGCATTGGAAAGGCGTCTAGGGCTTTGCTCTTGGTGAGGAAATACGAACTCTCAATGCCCTCAGATCTAGCAAGGAAATCATAAAACTTAGTGCCGGCCCAGAAGTAAGGCAACTGCCACCATTTCTGCACGGGGACCATAATTGGGAGCCACATTGAAAGATGTGGTGCGGTGTAGAGAAACCATTTGCGTTCCCGAAGGGCTTCTTTAACGAGTGCAAATCTGCAAAACAGGGCCGATGAGTAGGGGTATTTCCCAGTACGAATACAGGTAGTCCGCAACATACTGATTATAGTCCAATTCCCAAACGGCCTTTTCCAGGTAGCGTACACCGCCGTGGACCAGTTTTGTGCTCTTGCTGCTTGTGCCCGCGCTGAAATCGTCACGCTCAACTAGAGCTACCTTCAGACCGCGAGATGCAGCATCAAGAGCTATGCCAGAACCAGTCGCGCCACCGCCCAATGACAAGCAAATCGTAAGCCGCATCAGCATCCGGCGTTGTAGTGTTTTCGGGGCCAAATGCATCCTTCCCTGGACTCCGGCTTCCGGGTAGCAAGCTCGTCGTCTTTGCCTGTGAACTTCGCTTTAGGTCCTGGATTTGCTCTTCACGGGTTTTGACACGAGGAAAAGCGTGGGAGAACTAGATTCCCTCCACTGCTGTATGATGGGACAGGAATGGGAGCCGGATCCGAGCCAGGGATATTGCGTGGGCGATACGCTAGATATAAAATGCCTCCTCCTCCAGTCACAGCTGCCGCAATTTTATAGAAAAAGGGTTTGAGAAAGCGGCTGGAAGGTCGATTCGTCATGCTCGGGTGAAAGCTGAGGCGTGGAATTCTTCACAAAAGGATGCAAAATGAGAAGATCTATGTGCAGCCGCAAAGAATATTGCGCCGGCTTAGGAGTCAACCGCCATACATTCCGCGCCAAGCCACGAGATGATAGCGGACGTTCTGTGCCCGCCTAAGGTCTCAACACTCAGATCTCACATAGGAAGCGCGAAATCGACGGAAACCTACACAGATTCAGCGGATGAAATTAAAGCACTTTGTGGGACGAACAGGGTGGATTACAGAGAGCATCATATATAACTAGCCTTGGATGAAGCAATTGACGAATTAATCATGCTCTAGGAACGATAGCACTGGGTGTGGCCCCCATTAAACGGCGGAAAAGTCGAGATACGAATAAGATTGGCAATGGCGGGGTCAAAGTTGACTTTGCCATTGTGGCAAATGACCACCATCCCCAGCGCGTTTGTAGTGGCGCAGGAGGTATCCGCCCATACCACCAAGGTACCATGAACTGGCGGGCCGCGTTACCGCCAACGATCAACAAAACAAACGCTTGGAACAATAACAAAACTGATTGCTTCGACCAGGATCCAGAAAACAATAGCTGTCAGTCTCCAGATATCGCGCTGCTGCTAGGGTATTTATGTAGCCACCTGTTGATTGGGTGTTATATACAGTACTTCACTCAATCATCTCGTGCCCCGCACAGCAGTAGAAAACTCGAACTCATGAATCAAGCCAGTTGGACTCAATAGAGACAAGCAACCACGCTCAAACAGTCAGTCAACGGTCGAGGAGCGATACAGGAAAAGAAACTTGCTTAAATTTCGAGCTTGAGTCGGACAACAAACCAAGCGCTCGTTTCGCAGTGGTCACCAGCCGTTGTAGGAACCCAATGACAGCAGCTAGATACAACCTACGGGATAACACTTATCACGGAGTAACATGCTCATAACCATACTGCTATTCCCAAATGGCCTCCCTCGTCCGGTGACGCTGGTGGACGAGAGGGAAACATGAGGACGAAAGCAAGAAAGCATAAGGCGCATTAGCAGCCACTTTCCACAGGCGGTTTCCGGTAGTCGATCCAGGAGAACAGCTCTGAAGCCAGCCATATCTGGAGCCCTGCGATGAGTTTGGGAGAATGAATGTGCAACACCGTTATATTTGGTCCGGGGTGCAAGAGAGCAACTTCTAAAAAATAAGAAGAATGAAAATAATTCTGTGAAGGGCAGACTCCCGAGTACTACTAGCCATATAATTGAATGAGCAACGAGAGAAAAGAAGCAGTGTGAAGTATGCAAGCGACACGACAAAAATAAACCAACACAAGCAATGTTAAACTGGCTCTCTGGTCCTCTAGACTTAGTTTTTAAACACTGCCAGTGCCCAGCTAGTTGTGGGTTCAAACTTGGGTGACATAGGTGGGGTGTATCTGGATTTCCCTCGATGGTTGACAACTTCAAGGGAAGGGTAGCAGGCATGGAGCCATGGGCCTAACTCTATCTGACTATGGCTATTCAAAGCAGTAGTAAGTGTGTGACAGGGACTAGACGCTGGCCTTGCCGCCTTACCAAGGTCAGGGGTGACGGGCCCTAAGATAATCGGGGGTGGACGGTTGGAACAACAGGCCCCTGGCTGCGAGTGGGTGGGCGGGCGCGTTTTGTATACTATGTGAGTATAGGTTCCGTGTGAGGCTGATAGGATGCCAGCCGTCTTATGCCCGATTTTGGTCCATTGGTTCAACACTGCTGCTTGGCTAGTGCTAGCTATGGCACTAATCAGACAGGATTGAGGAGATATATAGATAGCGATAGAGATACAAATATATATGTACAGCACATACACAAGATCTGGCAGAATAGTTTCCCCTGCTTGTCTAAACAAAAACGATAACTTCAGTCCGCGATCGCGAGTTAGATAGACGACATGGCCAGGCCCATCCGAATCGCTATATCGGGAGGTGGCATGGCGGGCGCCTCTCTCTTGCACGCTCTGCTGAAATACCCGCATTTGGACGTCCACATCTTCGAGTCAGCCGCCGAGTTCAGAGAAGCCGGTGCCGCTGTCGGTGTTGCTCGGAACGGTCTTGCCGCGCTGAACCTCATCGGCGCCTCGGCCGGCCAATGCCTAGAGCGTGCCGGCGCAGTCTCGCAGCGGGGTGTTCGCTTCCTGCTTGCTGAAGGCGGGGAACGGAACAAGCTCATTGACGAGGCAAGAGACGATAGCGGCAAGGCTCTGGTGAGCATTGTGCATCGGGCCGTGTTATTGCGGGAGTTGCTCGACGGCGTTCCTCCAGAGCGTCTGCATGCGTCCAAGAAGCTAGACCGAGTCGAAAGAGCAGGCGATGATGGGCCTGTCATGCTCCATTTCACGGACGGGACTACGCATGAGTGCGACATCCTTGTTGGCGCTGACGGAATTCATAGTACGGTGCGTAGGATCGTGCTCGGAGAGGGGGACCCCGCTGCGTATCCGAGGAATGCTGGCTGGTGGGCGGTCATGGCCTTGAAGCCGTACGCAGATGCCCGGGCTAGTCTTGGTGAGGGCCCTGTCGATATCGATGACGCGCGCGAACACATGTGGGTTGGCGATGGCACGTATCTGATGCATAATATCTTGAACCGGGGGCAGCTGGTGCAGGTTATCATTTCCGCCTATGAGAAGGGGGCCGAGGCATCAGATAAGTGGCATCGAATTGTGAGCGCGGAGGAGATAACGAAGCTCTACCAAAGCTGGCCGTCGCATTTGAAAAAGGCAGTAAATGAAGTAAGCAAGCTACATAGAATCATTCCCACAGGCCCCCATCTAGAAATTTATTATTATTATTTTCAATATTTTTTTTTATCAAATATGGTTCACTAACCTGGATGGCATTCAGCTACTGTGTGATCAGCCCGAGCAGCCAGCCATATACCTATGGGATCACCCACCTGCCCGTACGTACGTAGCCGGGCCAATATGCATCATGGGAGACGCCGCCCATGCCACGACACCATGGCAAGGCTCTGGCTGCGGCATGTCCTTCGAGGACAGTCTTATCCTCTCCACCTTGCTCGGCCGCTCAACGACTCCCGCCGAATCCCTCGTGGCTTTACAGATATACGACCAGGTACGCCGTCCACGCACCCAACGTATCGTGGAATCGAGTCGGGGCACTGGACTCATGCTGGTTGGGAAAGGGGAGGTGACAGGGCTGGATTTGGAAAAGCTAAGGCAGGATTTACTGCCGAGGTGGGATTTTATCATCGATTTTGACAATGGCAAGGCTCGTGACGAGGCGGTTGAGATGATGGTTGCCGCGTTGGCAAAACTATACTGATGGATGGGGAAATACATTCCGCCCGCTTAAGATTGAGAATAGATGTCGGTATCAAATTGAGTCAGAATGTTTTTCAGAAGGTAGCTCCCACACAGGCTTGCATCAGCGCAGTTACTTAATGCATCTAGAGAAAGACAATACACTCTACTGCGCATATTACTCGGTTTACCTGACTAGAATTTTGTAACCAAATAATGTTATGTTCCCCTTTTCATCCATAAGACGATTCTTTTCCGTTTCCGGACGCTCTTGGAGGAATTGTCTCTGTTGATCATGGTCGCCATCGATCGTCTTTGCAGCAGCAAGGTGCTTGATACGGATTCGTGGATGTACGTATATGCTGTCCGGGGAAAGCTGAGTTGATCTCGGGAGAGCCCGCGAATCAATCCCCTTTCGGATGACGACACTAGAACAAAAGAGACCAAGAAAGGGGAGGGGCTTCAAGAGGGCGAAGCCTTATAATTTCCTCTCAATGCTGGAGGGAGCTGAGCAAGCCATTCTCAATTCCAACCAGCATACGGAGTAGTAAGAGGATGTTTTGCAATAGCATTCGGATAACAAATAAGACCCAGAAACGTGGGGATATCCCCTACAGACAGGAACAACCTTGTCTCTCCCTAGAAATCAACAAGCTCATCCCGAGAACAAGGGAGTCGGGACAATCACAATAAAATCGAAAGAAAGAAAGACTCCATGGGACACGCCCATGGCATCCAACGACTGCCAGGTCCCTGGTCCATGGGATGTCACGTCATTCCGCTGCCGAGCAATTCCACATCCAAGCGGTACGCAATCCAGTTAGCTTTTCACACAATCCAATCTAAACCAAAGATCCACAGTGCAGGGAACCACATCACAACTCCCATCACATCGTCATCACGTCACATCCTGGATTTATTTGTCATTTATTATGGAGCATGGAGAATGCTTCTTGGGAGGACGAAAAAAAGCCATCCATATGGGACCGTTGATCCAAAGCAAAGGAGCCCACCGAAGCGCGAGTGGAAATAGTTTCGTTGGTTCGACGTTCACCATCGGGTCAAGCCGACAATTGAAACAATGAATTACACAGTAAAGGGGTTGCGTTCTTTTTTCCCAAGAAAAAAAAAAAAGAAAGAAAGAAAGAAAAAAGGGTGAAAAAGCACCAAGCTAGGCCAAGCAAGGGGAAATTTATGTTAGTAGTTGGTCTATGCTGTCTGGTTTGTGATTTTCCCCGGAAAATGGATCACCAGAGGACTTCTTAAGCGAACGATACACGCTCATTCGCTTGACACTGGAGGGATTCATGGAGGGAAGCAGAAAAATTCTGTCGATGGGGCCAAAAAACAAAAAAAGAAAAGAGCAGAAAAGAAAAGAAAAGAAACTGAAAAACAGAGCCAAGATCTGGGGAAAAAAACGCTGGCGGTAATTAATTCATTAATTGCTTCTTCTGCTCATCGTGGCCACAGCGTGAAGCCCCGGCATACAAGTTTCTTGCTCTTTTATTGGGAGAGAAAAGAGGGTTTTTCGTCATTCCAAATCAATCAAATTGCTTTTTTGTTCATCGTTCTCTGCTGCCGAACAACATGGAGGGGAAAAAGGAGCAGCTGTGATCCATGGTGTCTGGAATTGGACGGAAAACATGCTCTCTTCCCCCTTCCCCCACCACCCCATAGCACTCCTGACTAATGGGTAATAGGTCTCAGCTTATGGGGCAACATGGGCATGATCGCACTGCCCGAGAAATCATGATA